GGTGGGGGGGGGGGGGGGGGGGGGGGGGGGGGGGGTAGTCGAGGAGGTAGGGGGGACATCCAGCCTGGGGGCCATCGTGGCAAATTTTACCAGGTGCCTCTTTTCACAACAGACGATCACATGAAATCCTCAACAAAATACAGAGAACCCTTGTGTGCCTGCCCCCTCCCCCCCCGTTGGCCCTCCCTCTGGTGAGACTCCCCCCTCCACCCCAGGGTGAAGGCCAGCCAGGTACACCCCATCCCATAATAAATCCCATAATGCATCTCAATATACAGGTGGCATGTGTCACACATCATGCTGGCACTGATGGAATGAAGCCCCTCTACCCAGAGCGGAGCTGGCCTTTACCTCGCGGGTCCACCTGCGCCAGGTAGGTCAGAGTACAGGTGTTGGGTCCGTTGCTCTGGATCAAATAGCCCGTCTGGATGGAAACGGCACGTACCATGTCTTTCTTTGGCGGGTATTTCTGGAAGGATATTAGCAGAAAAAAGGGAATTTATATTTCTTGTTCCTTGCTCTGCTATCCACTGGACAGGGCTACTTCACGGGGGGGGGGGGGCATAACGTTGCCCCGTGCAGGTTTCAGCATTTCTAGCCCACATTCACCTGCTCTACCTTCCCTGGAACCAGCAGGGCTGAGAAACCCAACAAAAGGTGCCAGAACGCAGGCTTCCCTAAAGCTTATGGGGTTTATTACTAATGATGACTTAATTACACATCAGATGGGTCTGGGAACTGGGGCAGTGTGTTTGTGTGTATGTATGTGCGTGTGGGGTTGGAGGGGAGAAAGGAACTGACTGCACATACGCACAAGTGCATGCACGCACGCACACACACACACACACACACACACACAATCAACATACAGAAACCCCAGCAGAGACAGCAGTGAGAATCTGCTCAATTTCTTTCACACACAGCCCTTAATTAACAGTTTCTACAGGATTAAAAACAGCGTTTGATCTCTGTCAATTAAGCCAGTAACTTTAACAGACCTTAGAGATCAATGTCTTAATATAATTCTGGGGCGTAAGCAGGTTTAACATTTTAGATCCCAGAACCTCTAATTACATTCTAATGTCAACTTAACTGATGAGTTTCTGATCCTCTGGAAGACAGCAGTTACAGGTAGCAGGTAAAGGCAGCAGCACAGGAGATGCTCAGGACCGAGCCTGGAACCTTCCGTGGTGTGAGGACACGGCATTCCACTTTGGGCCTTATTCAATCTGCCTGGCACAGCACAGACTGTGGCTTAACTTAACCAATCCCTCACTCCTCAAGTAGCCCAGGGTCACAGTGGATGGGTGAGGGGTGGGGGGTCCCTAAGTCAGGGCTAAGCCGTCAAAGGAGGCGGGGGAGTGCTTACTCACCGCGTGCTTGACAGAGTAGTTCATGATGATGTAATCGCGTCCCATGGGCAACCAGGAGCGCAGGGTGATGACATCACGGTTCTTCAGCGGTTTGGGACACTTCCCTGTGCGGACGGACGACATGCGGAATGAGAAAAACAGGAGCCCCCCACCCCCCTCCAGGCCAGGAAGGACCAAGCATCTTACATGAGTAGTAGCCCACGTCTGCGTTGACCGTCAGCTTGCCGATGTCGAAGGTCTCGATCACGTTTGAGTCCCATTTGCGCCGGTACTCCGTGTCGTGCAGGACGTCGTACATGGTCTCCGTGGGGACGTCTTTGCACACCATCTGACACTGCAGAGGAAACAGGCAGACGTCACCAAGGCTGTTTCTGGAGCCGCTCCCTGAGCCGGCATGCAGTCCGCTGCTGAACTTTCCGAAGACGCGTGGTCACATGATTCAGTCGCCGATTCCCTGAACGACACAGGGGAGATTCTAAGAACTCTGGAAGAGCCTAATCAAATCACGTCCTGCCCACATGGCTCGCTCCCGCAGCACACCTCTGCCCCAGACTGACTGGCCCGGAGACCTCGCCAAGACGACCACCGCAAGGGTCCCGTTTCACACCCACAGGGGCAATATGCTCAATATTTACAAGTCTCTAGGTCAGTGTTTCCCAGTCCGGTCCTCAGGGACCCAGGCGCTCCACATTTTTGCTCCCTCCTGGCTCTGCAATAATGTGGACTGTCTGGAAGGGAGTTGGGAGGGAGCAAAAAACGTGGACCAGCTGTGGGTCCCTGAGGACAAGATTGGGAAGCACTGCTGTTGGTGGAAAAAAAGGCATGTGGAAACTGACAGGGCAGGGAGGACAACTGGCAGGAGCAAGCAGGACAGGGCAGGCAGGACAACTGGCAGGAGCAACCAGGACAGGGCAGGCAGGACAACTGGCAGGAGCAACCAGGACAGGGCAGGGAGGATAACTGGCAGGAGCAACCAGGACAGGGCAGGCAGGACAACTGGCAGGAGCAACCAGGACAGGGCAGGCAGGACAACTGGCAGGAGCAACCAGCAACAAACCCACATCCAGGGCGGCTTCCACAGCCACAGTCCGGTCACAGATTACCACCACATTCACTAGTTTTATTATGTGTTACAATAAATCTCTATGACTAACAAGACCACCAACTCCTGACACCCAGGAACTGTCTCTATGGCCAGAGGCCTGATGAATGAGGCTGTTCCCTAAGGGAGTGTGTCTCTACAATCTATTAAAGCATAATGCTTAAACTATGAATACATTTTCATCAAATCATATTCATAAGCATGACACAAACTTGATCTTTTGCTGAGCAATCCACCCACTTTGAAATATTCAATACCAAAAATCAGAAACAAATTAATCCAGTAAGTGTAGCACATTCTGTTTTTTTTTATGTATACGTTTAAGAATCTCTAAAAATGTCCCTTTAATTAGAGAAGGCAGGAAACTAAAGGGATTAATCACTCATCACAGTGAGGAAAAGGCGGCTTTTCCCTCCTGAAAAGTAGCCTAATCAAAAGCAAACAGTCAAACAAGGTCCCAAGGTTGCTCCCTGTAAAGCGCTGGTGGTCGACGGTTAGTGAGGTGGCGTGCGTGGGGGTGGGAGCCCAGGGAGTGCTCCAGTGTGCGTGGGGGTGGGAACCCAGGGAGTGCTCCAGCGTGCGTGGGGGTGGGAGCCCAGGGAGTGCTCCAGCGTGCGTGGGGGTGGGAGCCCAGGGAGTGCTCCAGCGTGCGTGGGGGTGGGAGCCCAGGGAGTGCTCCAGCGTGCGCTCATCACACAGCCGACCTCACGTAGGTAATCGGTCAAGTTCTGTGAGCGGCCGGCAGCGAGTGGAATTGTGGGTACCGACATTTCCAGATGACGCAGTGTCCATTACCCACGCAGCAGCAGCCGAGTCCAGTTAAATGTTTATTTAAACTAGACTCTCGATAAGGACCTTTTCCCGCAGCGGCCTACAGCCAACAGCCCCTCCTTCTGCAGGCAGAGGCATTTATGCTTGGAGATGCCCCCCCCCCCCATTAGGAGGGCTACTGAAACCGGTTCTCACTGGCAGAGTGCTTTTCACTCTCCGCTGAAACAGTGCCACATGCATAAAGGCAGCCGGCGCAGGTAGAAGCTTTCTGGCCGATTGCAAAGATGTCAGAAGCCCTAAATCAGTCACGTCTAAAGACTCCGACGGCTTTTTAAAAAATGATTTGGTTATAAGCGAATAGGCAACATGACTTCATGCTCACGCTCATCTTAATTCTGATACAGGATCTTTTTGGTACGTTGAACATGTCGACCAGGTTACGTCACACGGCTAAGGGCAACGGAGCCCTGCAATCGGACCCAAAGCACTCAGAACTGAGACAGTCCCAGTTCACATCCCCGGAGGTGAGGGAGGGTGGGCATGGGGGTAATATGTCAGAGTGGGGCCTGATCCACCAGCCAGGACAACCCGCCCCACCTCATGCCAAAGAGAAGGGGCAGAACGGAGAGAGAGCAGGGCCATCATTTCAGGGGGGGACACCGGCAGATACACACGGGGAGGATCCCGCTGCCCCCCCACACGGGGAGGATTCCGCTGCCCCCCCACGCAGGAGGCCTCCTCCACAGTAACCGCGCTGCTGACAGCCTCATTGTTCGGAAACAGTTGCCAGGGAAACCGCTGCCAGCCGGTCTCCAGCATCCCAGCGCTCCCCCCCACCCCCCCGCCTTTCCCACAATTCCCCTGAGAATCACCCTTTCGCCAGCTTGCTTCTGCGGCATAGAATTTACTGGCCTTGAACACGGTGAGCACTCTGCTTTAACCCTGTGTGCTCTGCACGCCCCCCCCGTGCACCATACCCCTGCACCTCTACTGCCACTGCTGTGCACAAGGTCAGTCACGTGACCAAGAAGGTAAGGTGGTGGGGGGGGGGGGGGGGGGGGGGGGGGGGTTGGGGGAATCAAAGAGAAACTTATTTATTAACTTATCGGGCCTTGGTAGCTTATCTCACAGTTCCTTTTTTTCCCAAAAGCAAACAGATAAACTCTGATACCTGTTCAACCACAGAGCAAAAATCACTTAAAGAATCCCCGCCACCCCCATCCAAAGTCAACGGTGCATATTGGGAGAGGACTGCAGCACAGGGTGGGAGAGCTTCAGATTAACCCCATTAGGTCCCATTACCAACACAGCATCACATCTGCCTGAATCCTGCTCCTTCCCTGCTGAGAGCAGCTCGTCCTTCAGTCCAGACAGACGCCTGTGAGGTGCCGCCATTTCTCATTATTTCATTTCACGTTTTCATTTCCAAAGCAAAATTACAGGTCCTCCCTTTCATTTGGCTGGATGCTTTATGGGAGCAAATGAGTGCTTTTCCCCAAAGATACAGGCCAGCCCAAAGCAGACGGAACCCCGGCCAGCCCAAAGCAGACGGAACCCCGGCCAGCCCAAAGCAGACGGAACCCCGGCCAGCCCTGGTGACGACCGCAGCCCAAAGCAGCTCGCCTCAGCAGGAATGCCATTCCATGAGGGTGACCGGGGAGGCAGCTTTCTTCCAGGCTGGGCACCAAAAATAAGGAGCTAGAACCACCCCCCCGCTACTTTCCACCTACACCGTGAGGGCGGCCATGCTGGTGGGGCCCACCCTGCCGACCCAGACACTACCCAGGCTCGCATCCCAAAATGCAAATCGGGACATCTGCTGTCTAATTACACATCTACACCTGCTAGCAAAAACAAACACTGACACGCAGACACGGGAGAAACGCATCCAGAAGGCAGAGAGTTGGCTCCACGGCTGCATACCCACAATGCCTTGCTCCAAGTGTTAAGCAACTCCCATATAGAACCATGTTCATATACAACCATGTTCTACAAAAGGCAGGAATCATAAAAAAGAAAAGCAGTAAAGTGGGCTACAGCACCTATAGAAATGTAATCAACTTTAATGAAACAGGATAAACCATTGCGACAACAGACAACCCTGACGGCAGAGTTCAGAGGTGCTGTGGAGCGGAGCATCATGTCTAATACACCAGCTCAAGCCTTACCAGTGGCACACTGGTCTAATGGTGACCTCCAGCTAGGGGCATAACCTGCTGTTTAAGCAGCGTCTGACGTGGGACGCAGAAGCAGACACCGCAGGCAGGAGCTGGGACACCATCAGCGTGTTCACAACCAAGGGGAAAGGCCAGAAAGTCAGTCCCTGCAGAAGGTAATCAGTCTAGGTCCGATTCATGTCAAATAGGAGAGTTCAGCGCAGTCAGTGCTCCGGGGCAGTTCCTACACGTGAACATATTCCATATTGTAAACATATTTAAATACTTGAACGTTTCAAATGAAGAAAACAGCATAAAAATATTAAAATAGAACTAGAGATATAACTGATCACAGCGTAGTGTAAGCGGGACGGAATCAACACCGATGGCCAGGAAACTGCCGCCCGGCTGACTGAACTAATCAGGATCAAACACGGAGCAGCGAAGAGAGACAGAGAGAGAGAGAGACAGAGAGAGAGAGAGACAGAGAGAGAGTGACCACGGCAGAACAAGTATGGTAAGTTCATAGAAAGGGTCATTTGTGCTACTCTCTACATTTTAGGATAGTCACTATAAAATACCACATGGAATCATGCACACTGTCCTAATAAGTATTAAACAAAAAAGCATTATGTGTTGGGAGTCAGAAAGTTGCCGGTTCAAATCCCAGAGTGATCCCACCATTGGGCCCTTAACCCCAGTCGCTCCAGGGACTGGGGGACCCTGCTTTCTCCTCTGTGCCAGTTCCATGAGGTGACCTGGGATGCTTTTCCAGCTCCTGAAGGAGGTCCCACATATATGCTGAGCTCTCATTGGCCGCTTTTCCTTCATTCTGTGGTCAAACTCATCCAAGACAATTTCTATTGTGTTTAGGTAGGGTGGTCAGGTCATGTGATGCAACACTGTCTCCTTTGTAGGCGCCTTGGCGTGTCGAGGCTTTTGATTGGTGCTGCATCCCGATGTAACATTTTCATCTGGGAAATACAAGAGCCAGCCAGGCTGATTAAGGTTTCATTGATCTGTGTCATCTGTAACCAGTCCCTCTGTGCCCACCACTACAGCAAGGTCTCTGGTTTTGCATTGTGGCTCACAGTCGAATCGAAAGGCTCGCTGTTCTTAGGAAGGCAGGACTTGCCTGCGACTCCAGCAGAAACGTACCAAACTCCTCAGGGTTTCCCAGCAGCCGCGCTTGGCGTTCAGATAATTGGCAGATTATGCTGCTTGTTAAGACGACCGTGACCTTGTGCCCCCTGACACAGCAAACAAGCAAACAAGCCGGCTACCCAGAGTCAGCCCCCCCCCACCGAACACCCCCCTTGCAGAAAGCAAGCAGCCGGAACCAGTGTATTTAACAGTATTAAAAATACATCACAGGAATAGAGCAGTCATCCCGACTATTTCCTCTGTCGTGATATTAAGTTAATTGCGGTGCAATTAAAGTGGGGGGGGGGGGGCTTTTAATCCTGTCAGTCAACAAACAAGTGCATCTGAGCAAATTTAATATCACACAGGCCCAGAAATTTATCAGCATTTTACTAGCAGAATAAAATGAATGAAAATTTCACTGAACTGTTACCACACTTCCCATGCAGAGGCTGTAATACAAGTGAAGAGTAAATATTTACACTAATAACAATGTCTCATTTGTACTAAGTCCAGCTCAGTCTACCAGGGGTGGGGTGAGGTCTGGCATGGGGGGTATTTTTCTCCAAGCCCAGGTCAGGAAGCAGTGCTGAAGTTAAGTTGTGTTAAGCTATAAAAGAACACTTTACTTTTGTTACGCAGTTACGAATTCCACGGAGAGGGGACCCACCTCCCGTTTGGCGAAATGTTATGGAGGAACCCCCCCCCCCCCCGGTTCGACAGAATGTACTGAGAGGGTCAAAGGTGGTACTTTGCCCCAGGGCCAAGAAATTATTGATACACCCCTATTTAAGTGGAGAGAAACATACCCAGTACACAAGTGTCGAGCAGTGTCAGTGTTTGGTGGACAAACGGTGGGGGGGGGGCATTGGCCAGCCACCAATTTCCAGCTGTTGGTCTATTGACGGTTCCCCAGCAGAAGGGTGCCACAGAGATAGCAGCTGATAAATGACTTTTCCGTGCAAGACCGCTGCTGGTAACCAGTAAGCAGACCATTATCGGTCCATAGCCGGCCTGCGGTGGTCCACTGGTAGCCATTAACGCACAAAAATATCCTTAGTGATGGTATAGGCTGCAAATTTATTCATTAATTATATAGCCCATACCGTGACAAGTAATTGTTCTGAATTGTAGGCCCATAAACTTAGTCCATCATAAAAATCATAATGAATTCAGTAGACATGTTTTCCAATTTCCCATCTTACAGGCTCTTTCTTGCCATTAATGTTAAAAAAAAACTCTAAACATTATACACTTCTGAAACCCTTAAGGCGTTTCCTATCTATATGTACAGTTAAGATATACATGCGACTTGTTGACTCAAAACCAGCGCTCTGAAACGAAAATTTTGCTGCCAAGTATTCGTTGACGACCTTTTATTTCATGACTAAATTGTAACGACGACGTGAATGAAAAAATGGTTGACAACGAAAATTACAGCAAAATCTCTGTTCGTTACGCTCCGATGAGTAAAGTCGAGGCAAAATCGCCGGCTGTTAGGGCAGACAACCTACATCACAGTAGGCATCTCAAAGTTTCCAGCATGTCTAACGCTAAATTCACTCTACGCGATTTTAACCTTATTTTTTCCGCTCGCCGACAGTTTTTGGAAATTGCAGACAAAACCCCCAGATCTGAGGCAAATCGGTGTGCGGTGCTGACAAATCGGCACGCTATGGCTGGGAACTGTTTACAATGTGACCCGACGGAGTCGCCAATGAGTCACAAAAGCCCGTCAGATATCTGGACCAGTCGGCAACTTCAAATCCTGATGGTGTGAAAGGCGCTGCGACCGGCAGTGAGTGCGGCGACGAGCCCCAGCCAATGAGAGTGACTGGCAGTGAGTGCGGCGACGAGCCCCAGCCAATGAGAGTGACTGGCAGTGAGTGCGGCGACGAGCCCCAGCCAATGAGTTTGTGTAAGGGTCAACTTGGAGTGAAGTATCTTCGTGAAACTAAACCGAGATAAGTAACCTATATCTGGTAAACAGAAGGAAAGACACACAAGATTAATGCTTAGCCCTAAATGCCAAACTAATGTCCTTTTTTGTCGTTTCACCAATTCTGCTATATTATGTACTGTTTTTGAAGGGTTATTGTACATGGTACAATGTGTGTTTGATAGGTGTTTAGAAGCCCTAATAAAAATTATTATAGTATAAAATGGCCATACAGTTAAATCTGATGGGTGTTTAATGACCTAATAACAAAATGAAACAGGGAAAAGTATGTGTTGGTGATGTATGCAGAAAAAAATACGACCTGTGAAGGAAATATGACTGTATTGTACTTGGGCATTCATTTATAAATATATGAGAGAAGTATTTTAAATCAGTAACATTCTCAGTCTAGATAACTAAGCATCATAGAATATGCTTCTCAAAGGAATTTATAGTCAGGAGAATTATCCTTCAGCAAAATCCATTTCAGTAGCCTATCATTAACCTGTCATGACCAAAATTAAACTTGAGTTCCACTGACTAAACCTTAACTACTAAGTTAAGTTACCAAGACTAAAACCAATTTTTTAAAAATGCCAAAATTAACACTGCTCAAAACCATTTTTTAATTAGATGTTTGGTACAACCATACAGTATCTTATACATGATAAACAGGGAGACAGACCCAGTCCACTTTGAAATACTTAATGCAGAAACTTCAAGAATGAACAGAAACTGTAGATGCAGCCTAACACTTAAGAGTAACTTACTTGTTACCAGAGTAAGAGTCGGCGTCAAACGTCAAATGTGGCAGCCCACATGTAGGAAGTAAAGTGTCAAGGCGGACCTCCGTTTGTTAACAGTCGCAGTCCCGGGAGCCCGAGACGCACAGCGCAGGACTGGCAGCACGAAAGCCCCGTCAGGGCGGTACGCTTCAGAAATATAGCATTTATCCGACAGTTTTTCAGGGGTTAGGTGAAATACAAACAGTAATTATAACTGTTGTAAAATATACTATACATTTCAAGTCTCTGTTGAGATGAGTTACACCCTACACACGCAAATAAAGCTGACGGGGGCCGTGACCCTGCCCGCTGGAAAGGGGGGAGCGCTTTGGTCACGCCGGGCAAACATCCTGCTCAAGGCCGGCAGGTCGCGGCACCGCCCCCGCAGCAAACGCCGCTCCTGTCAGGCACCTGTCGGGGGTCGCTCGCAGCCGGATATAGGGAGCATTTAACTGTTAAATCAACCACGTTACCGAGGCGAACTTATAACGATGCCCATGCAAGCGTTACAGTAACAATAATAACGTGTAATTAAGGCAATTAAATGCGGTGATCGATAGCTCCCACGCGCTTAGGAAAAAGCACCTCCCCCGGGAAAAGGAACAACTAACCCGTGTTCAGAGCTCACCTTTATCTTATGCAAAGACTTCTCCTCTTCCAAAATTTGGATCCACACACTTATCCCGGACTTGTTGTACGTCAGGGTCCACCCGTCCGCCGAGTTGCATTCATTTTTAAAGTTGCTGAAGGCGCGATCATCCGGTATAAGCACAGCCTCCCCGGACATCTTAAGCGGCCAGTGGAGAGAATCCCCGGGTTTCGATGGACCGAAATCTGCTGGGAAACGCTAGTGAGCGCGTAGCCGGAGCAGCTGAACCAGGCAGCCTGGGAACCTGGTTAATTCGGGAGAAAAAAGCCGCCAGTTCTCAGCGCAGAGCAGATTATCCCCAATTTCCTCCAAGAGAAAAAAAATAAAATCTAGTTACGGCGAAGCACGCACCTGCTCGGCAAATGACTGTGAACTGCGGAGGAGCGCTTTGAAAACAGGAACAAAGATGCGGATTGGGCTACCGGTCAGATCAAAACTCATCCCGAGCCAAACGACGTCGATTTCCCCGTCTTTACCCAATTTAAATGGCTCTTCCCGCTGGGGGGGGTCGTGCTTACGTAAATTAATCGAGGAAAGATGTTGTGGAAGCGCACCGGCGACTCGTCACTGAGCGCATATGCTTCTGCAGAAGACGCGCGCCTGGTCTCGCGCTCCCTTGCTAGTGTCGAGTCCTCTGCTAATGGGGGCTGGAGGCTGGGGGCAGCGGTACAGGCGCACCGGAGAGGTTTTAGATTGACGTGTGAGCTGGAACCGCCTACTAGACTACACACACACACACACACACACACAGATACACACGCACAAACACACCCCTCCTTGGAACGGGGAATCGCGCGGTGCTCCGGGTCCTAACAGCTGACGTGTACTATACATTCCTTATCTGCTTTTCAGCTGACTGGCGATATACATGTGTGTATTATTCAGTGTACAATATATACGTTAATGTGTATTGCATGTACTGGTTACTGTATTCTGTGTAAAAACTGATAATTATGGACAATATCATTTTTATGTTCTGTCATCTTTTAAAGTTTAATTGCATAATTTATAGGACTATGTATCAGAATAATGCCTCAGTGCACAATCGAACCAACGTGAGGTTCCAGTCCCATCACTGTCCTCATCGCCGATTCTCTCATCATCCCTGACACCCCCTCCCCCCCCCCCAAACCCCCACTACCCACCAATCATGCTGACAATAATCATGGTGTCCCACACAACAGGCAGATGCTGTCGGGTGTGTACATATTTGCTTGCTCGACGCCTCCACCTGCCTGTGTACACAGATAGACCAGGACCTGAATTCTGTTTCTGTATGTCATTAGTACAGCTTGTGAAGGGCCTAGCATGGCAGGTGGGGGTGTGGATATTGAACCAGCAAGTCGCTGGTTTATGTCATAAACATATTACATTTTGTCTTAAGCTTTATGTGAGAGAAATGATAAATTGAATGCAGCTAACTCAATGAATATGGGCTTGTCTTACCTATTAGGCTCAGTCAAATGGTAACTAAAAAGTAAATAAAAGGGAGGCACTTAAACCACCCAGTTAGCAACAGCCCATAATAATCCCATGTGACGCTGGCCTGGAAGCTGGCTGAGCCATCAGGGTGCCACGTGCCTCCTGGTCAGACCTATCTCTGTGGACGTGCCTGGAGATCCTGACTGAAGAGAGGAGGGGCGTCGTGACCCTGCATCGGCCGACCCGGCAGAATCCTGTCCTCCTCCCCCGATCCCTCACATGACGGCTGCCTCTATTTACATTAGGAACCACCTGTGGAACCGGTGCCCTTGACAGATCCAGATTTAAGTCACATCTCCAGTGTCTGGTTCTGGGAGCACCTGAGGGTGAAAATACACAAACAAGAAAATGATTACGAAAACCCCAGTAAACAGCACAGCTTGCAGAGTTTTTGGGATAGACTTTGACCAGGAAATGACAGGTAAGCAAGTGCTACAACGGCCATGTGGGTCACTCAGGGCAGCTGAGCAAACGTCACACTGTTAGCACAATAACTTTCTTTTGCTTACACCAAGATAAATAATTTTTTAAAGCAAGTGATAAACCACACTGAATTTCACAAATACAGCATTTCATTTTCATAATATTTACAGCATAAATACAGAGAATATGAACAAAACAATAGTTTTTTAGGCATATTGCAGTTTGCAGATAAATTTCTCCAGTTAATCATTACAGTAACACTTAAATATGTTCGCCACTCTCTCAGTGTTTGAGAACACAGCTAAACCAGCAGTTTTAACTGGGAGTTGTTAACTCTGTATTTTCTGCTTTACAGTCACTTCGTACTGTGCTTGTTAAACCTATTAACCTATTTTCCTGTTCTGCTCAGCATGTGTTTTTCCTCTAAAGCCTGTTCCACGTGCCTGGATCAGCTGCTGACCAGTAATTCCCCTGTCCACACACGCAAGTTAGGATACGCACAAATTGTGACACTGAATCTAATAATCCCTGTTGTGGAAAAACCCTCCCCAGATCCTCACAGACCTGCAGTGAACCCTACAAGTCCCACCTCCTATGTCATGGTAAACAGAATAGGACATCACTGCATCATCCACTGACGGAGGTCAGTCTCCTTTAGTACTTCCTTGTTCCTCTCCATATGGTTCATGTTGTGTTATAATGCCATATAGGGAATTAACATAAAAAATTAGCTTTACTTCCTCTCCAATGTGACATCAGTGGGGGGGGGGGGGTGATGTGTGACTCAGGGGGTTAGGCCTCTGCGCCTGTGATCAGCAGGTGGCTAGTTCAAGCCTCGGCAGAACTGTTGCATCTTCAGTGGGCTCTTGAGCAAGACCCTTGAACCCCTGAACTGCTTCAGGGACACCAGATAAATGGCCTGATTCTATGCTCAGACAAGTTTCTTTCAGAAAGCATTTCATTTGTACTCTTCCGCTCTAAATTTATATACTGTGACCTAGTTACTTTAGTACCTCATGGCTGATTGGCAGTCTCTTTATACTTTAGGAGAGTATAAACCATCATTTTACTTATGCATCATTAAAAGGCGCCGAATAACAACTCAAAATCTGTGGAAACCCGATTCAAAACTACGTTGGCGTTTGCACATTGCTCCTTCGGCCGATTAATTTGACTCAGGCGCCCCCTAGCGTTGTGATATTAGCCATGGGTCGGCGTCATGCTTCAATCGTGACGTTGCACGGACTCCCAGAATCCACAGCTAATATCAAACCAATTTGGTTAACCTTTTACAGGGAACCTGTTGGAGGCGAAAGACGAAAAATCATTTCATTTTAAAACATAGGCAAACGTTTTAAAGGGTTTAAAATATCATGATTCCAAGAGTAATAGCTTAAAATGTTTTTAGTGGCATTTGCCAAATGGGTTAAATTTAGGTTTTAGTTTTTTTATTCGTATGCATGCACCTTCTGTTTTAACAGCAATATCATAAACAGATTTTTACAGTTGCTGTTGGTAGGTAATGTTTTATTGCTCCTATGCAACACAGGTACAGGCCTAGACATCGTTTATTTTTGTCTTTATTTTGAAACACTGGGAAATGTCTATAGGACTGCTGAGGAGTTAGGGTTTTATATTTAAAAACGGAAGGAAACCCTATATTTGCATTTAGTTTTGAACACACTGGAGTGTTGACGTGTTAGTCACATCTCACATGTGGCTTTGACTTAAAATTAAACATTACTCCACCTCATTCTTGTCATTGCACTTTATTAACAGCTCTGTCGTGTCGCCCGCACACACACACACTTCTGTATGGTTTTGCACTTTTCGAATTAGTCTCTCTATGGTACATATGTATAGTAACTTTTAGTGTATATAAATTTACCAAACACAATATTGTCTTCAATAGGGGGTGCGGTTGAACTGAATTCCGTGATTCCCATTTGTCATGATCAGAGCTGAGTACTGATTCCGTATACGGCCCAAGCAATACTGGGTATTGTAGTCGTCTACAATGTAAACTACAGTTCCCAGTGTGCATTGCACGCGTGACGTCTGCGGTGTTTTCTGCTTGTATCTAGAGCTTTCCTTTTCCCGTTTGGTCAGGACTGATGAAATTTTAGGTAAGTGCATCGAGTCAAAAATATTTTTTCCTCAGAATTATATGCACACATGTTTGTGTTGAGATTTATTACATATATATTTTGTCCATCCTTGTTAACAGTCTGTAACTGTTCGTCTATGCTGTTTTGTCAGAGCGATGTTGTCAGCAGTTCCCAGGCACATGCTGTTTCGTGGCCAGAGGGCTCGTAGCCTCTCTCCATGTCGCGTTTTGAAAACGAGCTCTGGCGATCCTGCGAAGAGCCAGAGCCCGCAGTTCGCGGACACCGGTCACGCTGCCATGTTGTCCAGCAAGGGCGCGCTGAGTGAGAACACGACGGGCGCACACTACCGCCACTTGGCCGCCAGGTGGCACACGAACCTGCAGGCCAGGAGGAGCTCGTGGAGCGCCGTCCTCGCCGGGTCCCGGGTACACTGGGATGAGAGGGGCAGGAATAGTGAAGGTGGCTTTGGCGTGATATCAGCGGGGGCCATTTCAGCTGCGGCTCTGGCGTATTGTTTCAAGAAAGGATCTGATTCGAAAGGTGCGTGTTTCAGTACCATCCAAGAGTATTAGTAATTAAATTTATTAACAGAGTTGAACATTTAATCAGTCGTTTTTTTCTCTCAGGCGATGCGCTTTTGGAAGCGGCCAGAACCAGCAATGCCCAGGAAGTTGCCAGGTATAGATATGAACGTTTTCTGTTTTTACGAAACGCAATGCAGTAGCAGTTGCGCAGTTTATCCACTAGAGGGAGACTAAAGCTCGTCCAGCAGAGACGGTATTACTCCACGTGCCTCAAATCATTCCCGATGACGTTTTCATGCAGTACTTTTCCTGCTTGAAATCTTTTCCAAAAAGCTTTATTTGCTTGCGATTTATTTACGTACATCGTACATGTTTATATGTCTGACTTTTTGAGCAATCAAATGTAGAGTAAGAGAGCTGAATAGCCATGGATTTCTGAATGGCGGTCTTTGTGTAAGAAGTTCGTGCACAAACTGCTGGAGAGGTAACGGCCACTTCATGCCTCTGGGCGTGTCACAAACCAAACTCCATAAAGGTTTTGTCATATTTGTTGTAATAACACGAGTTTCATGGGTTGCTAGAAAGCAAGAACTTAAAGCCCCCCCCCCCACACACACACACACAGCCAGTCACATGACACTACCCCACCCCTTCCAGACGCATGCCACCCCATAATCTACTCACTTGCCCAGAGTGAAGGAGGCCTTTTGGGGGGGGGGCTGAGTGGCGTGTTGAGCTTTGGCATGCGGGCAGGTTAGAACCCATCTGCTGTGTGTATGAGCTTCCCGGCTGATGCTGGGTCACCCGGCCATTAAGGAAACTGCAGTGTCTCCCCGGTAGGGAGCGGGGGGGGGGGTCTACATTAACCTGAAGAAAACATGCTTCACTAATTTGAGCCTGGAAATTGTTCTTCTGAAAATAAAGTCTTGCTGCTTATTCAGTGTTTCAGTAGTTCAGTATTAACTCCAAGTTAGGCTCTGTTTAAAATGAGTGTTTACTTCCTACCTTCCCTTCTTCCCCAACTGTTACCTTTTCCCACTCCCACCCATTGTGGGACTGGAAGGTTTCGGCAGTGGCTGGGTAGAAGCCTTACGCGGGGGGGCTGATTCCAACAAAAGCAACAATGGTCCCTGTAACTGGATCGGAGGGGGACATTGCCGTGGCGGGGGCAGCATGCAGATGGTGGGACACTATGCAGCTGGGGGGCGCAGATGTGTTAAGTGTTTTAGTAAAAGCTGCACAGGTGTTGCGTAAAGGGGGGGGGGGGGGGGGGGGGTTGGATTCAGGTAGATCAGCCCAGTGTTTACACTAAACACACCGTCTCGCCAAGCAACCTAAGATAAGGGGACAGAAGGGATTATTTTGGGTTTTTTTTTGTTCTGGGGAGAAACTGTGAATTTAAATAGAGTGACATACGCCGTCCATTCGTGGTTATAGGAGTCTTCTCTTACAGCGTAGCCCCCCCTAACACATGGGGCACAGGCCCACTCTCGACCATCTTGTATCTCCGGAGCACATGGATCAATTATTATCAGATTTCATCACTGAGTAAAGGTTATGGTGTCACAGGTGTCACTCACGGTTCTGTCGGAGTCTGGCAGTATGAGGATAATCATTAGTGGGTAACTGGATACTTCCTGGACTTTTTTATATGGATGCATGCATATATTCATCCATTTCCATACCTGTGCAGGGGTCTGCTGGAGCCTATTGCAGAAAGTATGGGTACAAGGCAGAAGACAGACCCATAACTGGGCTATAGGCAATTTGACGGGGGGGAGGGGGGAGAATATGGAAACTCATACACATAGAGATAGGGCAGAGATTGGAACCCTGGACTGCAGAGGTGTGAGGGAACAGTGCTAATCATAGTATTACATATGTATGCACCGATAATATTGATGATATGCCCACTTACATGTGATGCAATTAATGTTGATTGTCTGGTAAAAACAGTGCATGTCAATGTTGGAGATATAGACTTTAAGCTAACATTGGGTACCATGTAGTCAGCATGACGCTGAAGTAATGGGAAGGAGCCAAGAGCTGAGTGACTTTGATAAGGACAAAATCATTGCTGTCAGGTGACTGGGTCAGAGCATCAAACACAAGGCTTGTAAAGTGCTTAACTGTGGGACTAGCAGCATAGAACTATCAGAACACTTGTCTATTTTATCATCAAAATTTTGAAAGGGAACATTTGTATAACTGTGTAGTAATAACGTGGAAATTGAGTGATTTGTGGCGTTTTAAGCCTCCTTGTTCCACACCTCATCTTCTAGTGGGACGCTGCAGGATTTCCCGCCGTACATCCTCTGTGGATGTAGGAAGATGTGCGAGGAGGCCTGCAGTTACCGCGACAGCGTGTGAACGTACCTTCCTGTTTCCTGTCTCCTCCAGGTTGCTGGCTGATGGAACCGACCCAAACTATCGTCACCATCTGGGCTGGACGGCATTGATGGTGGCTTCCATGAACCGGCAGCACAAGTGAGAACTTCAGCCGCTTCGTGGTTTTCCTAAGCTGCTGTGTGATCACATCCCAGGCCTACATTAAAAAAAAAAATCTTTGTTCAGTAATGCCTGTAAGAGAAAAAGTCCCAGACCAATCCTTACACCAAGCAAAAAAAAAAAAGGTCTTAAATTTAACTTTAGGGTTTTCATGCATGCTAAAGGATTCAACCCCGACTATCCTTTTCACCTTAGTGGAAGTTAAGTTTTTGTGTTTGTGGTGTGGGTTTGCCTCCCCTCCTCCTGAAACGGCCTGTCTCATTTAATCCCGGCATTATTGGATGGTAATCTACAGCGTCTGAGGAAGTGTGCATCACATGGGTAGAGGGGCGCCGTTGCAGAGCCCAGCAGCTTCCATCCCCATCCGACCCTTTGATAGGCCGCACAAAGCCGGGGTCTTGTGAAGTGCAAAATGCCCCTTTCACGCTGCCGGGTGTATTGAAGGGCCAGAGGCCCCCAAATTCAATTAATCTCCCTCCTGGCAAACACGGGAAGGGGGGGAACGTGACCCAATGGGGCAAATCCCACTTTAAACCAAGGGTCCTGCCCCTGGGAGAGGCAGACACAAGTTAGTAAGGCAAGTGGTCAAACCCCCTGCCCCACCATCTTGGCTGTCCGGTACCTCCCCACTGCCTGAAGCTTTGTAGGATGGTATTAGCTGTCGGACCGGTACCAGCTGTGAGGAGGAGATGCCCAAGGTCACATGCTTGGTCCTGCTAAATTGTCCACCGTGAGCAATTCCTCGTGGGTCGGTCCTCGTACGGGAGGACTTTCGTCATGCTGTGTTACTCCCTGTTCCGATTCCGGCTTGTTGCTCCTCCGCTCCACTCTTACGGCACTTAGCTTCAAACGGCCGCGGCTTTTCGACATATCGGCAAGCTGTCCGGCGGTGAAAAATGGCCACTGTCTAAAAGTAAGCGGGGAGTGGCCTGGAGATGGTGTTTCAGCCGTTCCGCTCAGACGTTAGCCATAAAGTTGGCCTACCTGGGATTTGATTTGTTCTGTCAGGGTGACACAAAGTAATCAAGCGGAATTGATCTCATTTCAATTAGTATCCTGTTAAACAAAGGCCTGCAGCCGATAGCCATGTCTGTGTTTTTTCCTTTGAGGGCCAAAAAATGCTTTTATGAAATGAGAAACGGCTGCGGTCCATGTGCCTCTCGGCGCTTCAGTATGTCGGCTCTGTACGTCAGCCTGTGTGTCCCTGTATACCAGCCTGGAGCTGCATTCCCACTGGGTTCACTCACACTCAGAGTGATTTTTGTGGGGCTGATCTGCTGAAAACGGCGATGCTGAGGCCCTGATCCAGGGCACTGAGATGTCCATCCCCAATATTGCCGTAACATTCTTCGCCCGGAGGGCAGGAAAGGTTTGTGTTTGCGTAGCTTTGATGTAGCCAGTTCACCGAGGGCCATGGCGGCCTCCCCCCGCCCCCCAAGGCTGTCTTTTCACTCCAGCAGTGTCCACCGGTCGAGCGGAACGCTTGTTGACTGTTCCGACCGACCGGCCGGCCGCTTGCCTCTCAAGGCTGAGACATAAAAGCTCAGGGGTTTTCCTCTCTGCATCGCCCCAGGGGACAGCGGGGGGGGGAATTAATCCGTTTTGGAGGACCTCAGTGGGAATGTCACCTGGTGTATCATAGTAAAATGATGGCCCTACTGGTGGTGCTGGTCATGGCCGGGATGAGAGGCCGAGGAGAAGCTTCTGCCCCCTGAGACGGGCGCCCCCAGAGCCTCATGGCCGGGAAGAGAGGCCGAGAAGAAGCTTCTGCCCCCTGAGACGGGCGCCCCCAGAGCCTCATGGCCGGGAAGAGAGGCAGAGGAGAAGCTTCTGCCCCCTGAGACGAGCGCCCCCAGAGCCTCATGGCCGGGA